ATTGCCATTACATATATACATTTTTTCTATGGGTCGTGAATAATCAGTTGTAATAATTAACATTATAATTGTCGTCTGTGCTTAGGTAAGATTTGTAAAAGAAGCTTGGAAAAAAAAAGATTTCTTTGTAGATATGAAAGAAATAAATATTGATTATATTTTTATTTTCAGGATGAAATGGAAACCCTGCGCCATTCGACTCAACGCGAAAAAGCCAAATTATCGTGTAAATTAGCACAAACGGAAGAAGAAGTCCGCCATCTGAAGGATAAAGTTTTCGTATTAGAGCAAAGAGGTGCTTCGGATACAAATGATCCGATGACGAACGACGAACGAATAGCCGATCTCATGAGAGAACGTACTCTTTTAGACAGAAAATTAGAGGAAGCTCACCTTCATCTGTCTGATATAAAAACCAGTTGGTCCGGAAAAATAGCAAGTTTGGAAACGCAAGTGGGCAGGCTCAGTAGGCAAGCGGGAGAAGAAGGACTAGAAAGAAGACGCGTAGAAGAAGAAAAAGAAAAATTGAAGCAAAGGATTAAACAACTAGAAGCTGAAATAGAGGTGAACAATGTTGTTATGGCGACGAAAGACGCCAAGCTTTTGCGCATGGCCGAGGACATCGACGAAATGGCCACGGAACTAAAAGAGCTCCGGGCCAGCGTCGATGACGAAGAATTTAAGCGGCAAATCGTGAGTTACCGCGATATGTAGTGATGCTGCATGTTTACTTGATGATATAATAGTTAACTTCCAGGAAAACATTTTAGTATATGAACTGGAAAAAAATAACTTTTATTACCTACACCCTACCTACCAGCCGGCACAATTTCGAACTGCGACACTTCTTGCTTCTGCATTTTTCCTTTTTTCATTATTTTATTATTCCATAATAAAAATGAAAGACGCCTATAACAAATATCTATAATAATTATTTTAAGACATGTAAAATTGCTAATAACATTTACATAACATTGCAATTTCTTTTATATTTTTAACGCTTGTGCAATAATACTATAAACATTAGAATATTATCGATAAATTTTTATTAATTTTTCTTTGTGAATGTGTGTGATAAGCGCATTTTCTATCTATTATTGCACGGTAAAAATGCTTGATGCTTAACGCACATACTTTTTATTAGTATTTCTTAACACTTTTTACACATATTTGTACCTACTAATAGATTTGAACTTTGTTTCTACTATGAGCATGTTGAAAATGAAAATGAAATTCTTTTTAAATTTAAAATGTATATATATATTGCACATATTTTCATTTGTTTGAGTTTAATTAAGGCATAGATAGTTTAAATGAACTCTAATTATTACAAAAAACCAATCATCTAGTCTAGAATCTAATAATTAGACAAATTCTGTGATTAAGCATGAAATGAAATAAGTTGTTGTGTTATATTGTAATATCTATCGAATAATTAATGCAAAGTCTTTTCTCAATAATTTATCTTCTGTTCAATTAACAAACAGGACAAATATTTTTCTTTTATATCCCCTTCTTCTCTTTCTTTGCATTATTTTAATATATATATGCCGAATAGATCGCTTAATAATCGAAAATATTTTTATGTATAATTGTGTGTTATGTATAGTTTATTTGTGGAATAAAGAAAGAAAAAAGCAATAATATTATCAATGTATCTTTTTTTTGTTTTACTTTAAACCCATTTCTGTATCAACCACATGCGAATGTTAATATACACGTAATCATTTTATTAAAACATTTTAGTATGTATTTCAGGTATCGAATGGTTACATTTTCATTCTGAATATTTTGGACGGATCAAAATTATAGAATGTCATTTTTTTATAGAACTTTGCAATGCTACGAAAATAAAATATACAGACAAAATTAGAATGAAAATGTAAGCCTTTTTTTGATAAGTAAAAGAAGACAAAAATAGGCAATATTATGTTGTGCTTCGAGTAATTTAAAGATATTTTTGGTGTCTTGATATTACATTGATTTTTAATTCGCTTATATTTACAAAAAATAATGAACGAGAAACCCAAGCTATATATATATATATATATAAATATATACTTTTAAATAAGACGTTTATATAATAAGTCATATACTCTTTTTTTCATGATCTATGGTATTTGATACAATTTCTCATCTTAACTTGTATTTGCCCTTTTACTAGGAAACATCCTCAAATGAATGCAGTCAATTGAAATCAGAACTAGAAGAAACTACGGAAAAGCTTTTAGCTGCAACATCAGAATTAACATATTTACGATCATCCAATGAAGATATGCGATCAAACAATTCTTCTTTACATTTAGAAATAAATCTGTTAAAGGAAAGTCTAGAGAATGAGAAAAGGACGAGTGCCAAATTGCAAGAATACATAGAAAAAGAAAAAAATGAAAAAGATAGTGCATTGCTGAGGAGCGCTCAATTTTCTCAAGATATTGAAATAATTAAGCAAGAGCAGAGATTGCAAGAAGTTGAAAATCACGAATTACAGAATAAAATGGACAATTTGGAAGATAGATTTAAAGCTAAAAGTGAAGAATTGGAAAAAGCTGTTGCAATGTTGAAAAATTCGAAGCAAAGAATAATAGAGTTAGAAGAGGTAGAACGTAATAAGGAGAAGATGGAAGAAAATGAAAAAATATTGTTGGCTTTAGAAGAGCAAATAAACGAGAAAACAAAGGTAGTCCATGGTAGACTAGATAGAGAAATAAATTCGCCTACGTCTCTGTGAATATATTTTATTATTTTTTTTTTTTGCAGACGATCAAAGTTTTAAAACAACGTTTAACAGATATGAAAAAGACTTTGCAACGGGAATTAAGAGTTCCTTCAGCGTCGTTAGATAACGATGCCGAACCGTCCACTGCTATTTTGAATCCAAGTTCATCCAAAACGGTCACTGCCAAACACGTCAACTTAAAAGATGATGTTAACTTTAAATATTTGAAACATGTTCTCATTAAATTTCTTACTAGCAGAGAATATGAGGTAAGTATTACTCGAGTATTACTTAATAATCAAAGTTAGATAGATATACGTATATCAAGGACAATTGATAACTTTGAACAATATTTTAGGCTCTTCATTTGACAAAGGCAGTCGCTACGTTATTACATTTTTCACCGGAAGAAGAACGTTTACTTCAACAAACATTGGAATGGAAAATGTCATGGTTTGGTACTCGACCTAATTTGGGTTTTGGACAAACTGCCAAAGCTATACCACCCAGCTGATAGCAATCAACATTCCATTTTTATATTATTTCAAAGTATATGGTCTAACTCTAAATAAACACCAAGAATTATTTGAGAATTGACTTAAGAATTAAATAAATCTCGAAAAAGTGAATCCAGAAAATATAGTAGTTGTATAAACTTTGTAATATATTCACAGTTTAATAATGTATCTACAAATTGTTTGCTAAAACATAGTGTACAAATGAATAAAGTAGTTAGGGATTATATACCGTAAACCTTAATGTCGAATATCAATGTGCATAATATTAAAAAAGAAACTTTGTTAAGGAAATAAAGAAAAATAATGGCATTTAGCTCAATTTATTGTAACAATTGCATTTCTCGAAAGAGATATATTTATTCTCTGTCGATAAAACAGAAAGATCTATCGAGAGAATCGTTCTCTCTTGGCGCTACGATTCTACGAAAATCCAAGTTACAACTTTCATCCTGCAATTTGTATCTTTCCTCTAATACAATTACAAAACTAAAATATTTTATTTTAATCTGTCAAATAAGACAAACATATAGAACAAATATATATTCTATTATATTTCTTAAGAGAAGACTACACGGTTGCATAGTATTTAAGCTGTAGCATGATTTTGCGTTTTAGTTGCAATAATATTGTCGTCATTGACAGAAATAAATAGAACAGGAAGCCAATTACATATCGAGATGCTTGCCATTGTATGTTAGAAATGTTGAAATGTGCATATACATATTATAGATTATTCGTTTTCCTAAGAATGATGCATTCCTAATTAAATTCGTATAATTATCGATCGATAGATCGATCGATCGATCGTTAATACGAATATGATTTATATGAATGAATTAGATAAACTCTAATCGGTACGTAATATTATACAATAAGAACATATATATATATATATATATATATTATATAAAAAATTTCAATCGATTGAGTTGTTTTTCTCTGTAAAAATAAAAAGCTAAAGTAAAGTAAAGTAAAGTAAAGTAAACTAAAGTAAAGTAAATATATAAAAATCTCTCAGTCTCGTTCTCTATAAACGATTATGCGTTATTTCAAGCCACCGAGCATATAAAAATAATATCAGCATTGGAAATGTTGGCGGAGGAGAGCGATGATCGCGTGCAGAAAAGTACGACAATAGCGACAATGGTATATAACGCAGCTATTACGCGATTCTAGGGAGGGGCATGGGGGTGGGGTGGGTTTAGGAAGGAGGGTTGGGAGAGAGAGAGGGTTTTGGGTGGTAGGACCACGCCCTTGGCGTCAAGACGGACGGCGCTATCGGACAGGAGCACCAGGCAGGAACGGAGCTCTCACTGACGACTGCACGACTGAACAACACGCTCTTATTGTGAACATTTTGCCACTACTACCGACTCAACCCTACCTACCACCCACCCGCCCAACCATCTATACATTCACTCGGAGAACGTAGCCGCCCCGAGGGTTCCCGCGATTCCATGTTAGAAAAGTAATACGACTGACCGTCAACGGGTTCTCGTCGTCGTCGTCGTCGTCGTCACCGCGTCGGCCTGCGTCAGTCTGTCATCGACCTCGCACTCGGAAACGTGATCGCCGTCATTATCCTCGCTCGGACTTTTCTTATTCCTCCTATTATTAATCCATTTAACTCGTCCTACGATTGCATATTATATTATTTCTCTTAATACTATAGTCGCCCTTTTCAAAAATAAATATCTTTCTCTATCGCGACGAAGGAAGAAACATTAATAATAAAATAAACGCAAGATACATAGATATTTTCAAAAGATTCAATCGAACATTAAATAATAAGCCGATAAATTATAACTTCTCAATTTTTTTGTTTCAATATCATCGTGTCCACCACCACCACCACCATCGTCGACATCGTCGAGTCCGAGCGTTAAAGATTAACAAGAAAATCAACACATTTTAACGTTTACCATTCCTTTTTTTTATTCTATTCCTATCCTTCGTCCTCTTTATCCTAATCAAATGTTATCGTGTATTTGACAAGATTTCATGTGAATAAAAGGATCTAATAATTGGCCTTTCGTCTAAGAAGAAGAGGCACGCGAGGAATATGTCCGCATTTGGCGCCGGTTGAATCTTCGATATATCTACGAGAATCACGGTTATGGTATGTCGATTTTATACGACATTCTCGTTTGCCTTCCCTATCGATCGAAGATGATCCTATCGAATTTTTATTATTCAACTAATAGACGATGCAATGACACACTGTAATAGGAAGATGCATATACAATTTGATACGTATTTATTTTATCGTAATCATTGTTTCATTTAATCAACGAAAAAAGAGAAGAGAGAGAGAGAAAAAAAAGAAAAGAAAAAAAACCCCTATCGGTTACCTCGCCTATATATTTTCGGTAAAAAAAATATTATTCGCGTAAAAGTAATGAACGTCGGCTGTACCTAGTGTTTGAAAAGAGAATTTCGACAGAGATGGCATGAGTTTATTTTTATATTTATATTCTTAGCGGAAGACGCTTAACCTTCGGTATGGAATATCCCTGTGTGTAGTCCGACGAATCGAAGAAAAAATATCTATCGAACTTTATTATCTTGAGAAAAGAAATATCATTTCTACACGAATTCCATTTACGATTATTAATAGTAATTATTATTCTATATTTCATACTGTGTTTATTTATCCTACATTAACGAATTACATTAAAATTCATGCATTTTTAATTGTTTTCCCTTTAGACAAAATATTGATTAGATTAATGTTCGATCGTATATTCACCTATTTTTTTTTTATTTTCATTTAATGTTGCATATGCAAAATAAAGTAATAATATTATTGATGCAACTGCACATCGAATGATGTGCCAATATAAGAGATAGTCATTGTATTTAAAGAATAAATTTAAAAAAACAAAAATAGATCGATAGAATACAAAAAATGTTTCCTTGATCTAATTAATTTGAATATCAAGGTTAATAATTCGTTTTCGCGCCTTTCTATGAATCCTACCATTTAAACGAGGGAGCCACCACCGGGCACCCTTATTTACTTCAATTCATTCTTATTTGTATGAGTATGCATATACACTATATAATAGATGCAATATTATGCATCAAATCAGTTTTAAATGCATACACAATTTACGTTTCTATTTATGTTATATTTTAAAAATTAATGAATAAAAGCAAATCTCTTAGTTGCGTCAATAATTTATATTATAATGTTTAATAGCAGTACCTTCTCGATGATATTTAAAAAATATCTAATGTACGTTTAATACTTCTATTAATTATTTAATCATTTAAAAGATTTCTTTGATAAGATCATCAATTCGATTGAACAAAATGAATAAACATCTTTGATCTTTGTAGATTTACACTTTGTTGGACTTGCCTTGCGTATCTATTCAAAAATCAAAAGACGATACATTGGAATATACTTAAACGGATAATCATAATCTATAAGAAAACAAGTAAGAATTATTGTGTGCGATCAAACTGTTCGACATGCTAATATTATTTTTAATTCCATATATTTGAAAATAATTGCTGTTAATTTAATGTTATATTTCATTCTTCTTGCAGATTTAATCGTTTGTTATCAGATTGTTTCTAATCTGATATGAAATATTACAAATATTCTAACATAATGGAGATAACGCGTATATGACATAAGGATTTTTAAAAAGGGTTGTAACAATTACTTATTCGAGGATGGACCTTTGGAAAGAATAGTTTGATCGAGTTACGGATAGTTTGACATATACCATTTGTATATCGTTTATCGGCTAAATTTAATCGTTCTCAGGTAACTTTGATTCTAAAAATTTATGCAAATAATACTTGAAATGTTTTTCATATTTACAAGTATATTGTATAATAAAGTATTCTTATTGTTTCAGAAAATGTCATCCTTAAGAACGCAATCGACCGGTGGTGGCGGAGGTAGAGGTGGTGGCGGCGTCCTAGGCTTGAGCAGTATTTGTTCCGATCGTACAGGAGCCACTTCCATTGCTAGCGGTTCTCATTCTCATTCCCATACGCACAGGAAACATCAACATCACAGTAGAAGTAGAAGCGCTCCTAGAGCACCTGAGAAACCACCTAGAAAACGTCATTTAAATCCTGGACATAGCTTGGTTTCCATTCCAAGTCAAATTAAATTATCCATGTTAAACAGTGGCCTCATTTCTTTTGGTAAGTTCAAATATCTAAGTTCAAATGATACAAACAAACGATTCAAAAGTCATAACATTGCTTTGATGCGTTTAGCAACGGAGGAACTTAGTAGCAGTATGAGCACTACATTGCCTACAGCACCGACCGAACTTTCGCAATTTCCAAAGCTTTGCGAGCTTCGGAGAAAATTTCCGGTTCTATATCGAGTAGAATTTCAAGTAAGAAATTATATTTACATGCACTTTCCATTAAAGAACATATTAATTTTCTTTCCTTTTATGTTCTTTTTCATTTCAGACAGCAGCAAAGGTAGAATCGCATTCGTGTAGACATGCTACAAAACCAGTAAATAAAGAAAAGAATCAAAATCAGAAATGTATTCCATGTAAGTATGAATGGTATATAAATTATAAGAGCATTGTATCGTCAAAAAAAAACAAATTGTTCTTCATTATATTTTAATCCAAAGCGATAGTTAGTGGTTATTGTCAATGTTGAAATGTTTTGTTTCAATAAAAGAACTCCACTCCTCTCTAATTCTGTTTGGTTTAATATTGTGTGATATTTTGAGCTTCGATTACGTATAAATTTCTGTCATGACATTTAAGCAAACATTGCATTTTAATACAGGAACGTTCTAATGCTTTGAAATATGCGCTTTTGTACTTTAGGAAAATATTATTTACAAGCTTATTTTGGTGATTGACGTGTTTAAACTTATAAAACATTAGACTGTACTAGGACTCTTCGTGGGATCCAGATTTGAGGATATTCGGATTCCTTGACATCCAGATAAATACATGACACGACAGCTCGAATCCGGATACCGAATATTCGAATCCGGATCCTACACTGAATTAAGATCCCGTTATATGGATCTAACACTCCTACCATAGTGTCTGCCAATGAAGATGCACCAGCTACAAACGGTTAGTGCTATCACTAGCTGTTGCCGGTAAGTTAGTATACTTTTAATAAATGCTTTATGACTATTCGTTGCAGTTGGTGATGTGTAGATATTGATGTTTTACAAATTATTGCATATGATCTAATTTATTCCAATTTTAATAATGAATGCTAATTGTTATAATGAATCCTATATAAAACATAAACGAGAGCAAAAATAGTTATCTTCATCTTTTTCATTATATTTATTTGCCTTTGATTTTTCGCAAATTCAAAAACAATACCATAATAACATGACATTACAAATTTATCCTTTATCTAGATTTATTCTGCATTATCATTTTGTTTTAACAATCGTTATTATTTGCAGATGACTATAACAGAGTGGTTTTGGATACAATAGAGGGTGAAACAGATTCCGATTATGTTAATGCATCTTATGTAGATGTAAGTATGTCAATGTTTTGTTACCTTCATACATTGCATTTGAATAATATTATTTGACAATTTTAATTTTTATCTTCTTTTCATATTATAGAGTATCTTGAAACCAAACGCATATATTGTGACCCAAGGTCCTATGGAAAATACTGTAACAGAATTTTGGCGAATGGTTTGGCAAGAGAAAGCATCTTGCATTGTTATGCTTACGAAAACATTTGATTTCATACGAGTAAGTCATTGGAAATACATTTAAAAAATATATTGTTAAAGTAATTTATTGTATCATCATTTGTGCATCATTTCGTAGGTCATGTGCGTCCAATATTGGCCAGCAAGTAAAGATAAGGATGAAGAATATGGAGGTATTGGAGTTTCTATATTACAGGAAGAACAATTAGCCAATTTTCATATACGTACAATAAAACTTTACAAGAAGGATGAAAGCGAGGTAAGTATAGCAGGCGAAGTAGAAATAATGTTTAAAAAAAAAAAAATTAAAACTTTGCTTGATATATTAAATGTTAATATTTGTAGGAAATATCTGAAGAGAGGACATTGCTACAATTTCATTATACCGAATGGCACTCTCATACTTGTCCTTTTGGTAATGCAGTATTAGAATTTCGTCGTCGTGTTAGAGCAGTTGTTGGATCTACTATAAAAAATGAATCAGGTCCTATGGTAGTTCATTGCAAGTAAGTCTTTGCCCTCTCTTTACCCTCGCACATTATGTAAAGATTATTGAATAGATTTTTTTTTATTTTACATTACATTTTCTTATATTCTTTGTGATTATTTTCTCTTCGCAATTAAAGTGATGGTGGTGGTCGATCAGGAGTGTATCTTGCAATAGATGCTAATATGGAGTTAGCCGAAGAAGAAGATGCCTTTGATGTATTTGGATATTTAAAGAAATTGAGACAAAGTAGAAGAGGAATGATAGAAAATTTGGTACGTTGGTGCATTTGTTTGATGACAATTATTCTAAATATCGTAGAGAGTAGTAGTATACATATATATATACATATATACATACTTATATATACTTATGAAATATATTGTTCCAGGAACAGTACAAATTTGTATACGATACTTTGGAAGAATTTGTAATATGCGGTACTTCGTGGTTTCCAGTTTCGGAATTATCGCTACGTTTGAAACAAAAAAGTATCAAAAATCCTCTAACTAAAATGAACGAATATCTACGAGAGTATCAACAGATATGCAAGCAAACGCCACGATTTACGATCGGAGACTGTGCAGGAGGACACAGGGCTGATAATCGTGAAAAGAATAGAGATGTTTTGGTCGTACCGCGTAAGTTTGAATAAACTTTGAAGAAAAATCAATAGGAAACAATCTAAGCGTATTTTATAGTTCATAGATTTACTTTTCAAATGATTATTATTTCCTTTACTTAGCTGACAACTTTCGACCGTACCTTACTAGTTTCCAAGGGAACAATTTCACAGATTATATAAATGCTGTCTTTGTGGACGTAAGAATTGAAAACAGACTTTTTAAAATATATCATATTATTCACATTCCTTGTTAGATTGTATTAATTAATGATTATTCTAACTTATATAGGGCTACACAAAACCAAGAGAATACATTGTTACCGAGTGGCCTCTTAGAAACACATGTGGCGAATTTTGGTCTCTAGTTTATGATTATGAATGTGCAGCAGTTGTTGTATTATGCGTACCACCACAGGGTTCTACAAATTTTCCAAGTTTTTGGCCAGAAGGAAGGCATTCAAAAAAATATGGTCCTGTATTTACTATCGATCATATTAGTCATAATCATTATACAAATATTAAAACCTGGGTAAGTAAGATTAAAATCATACTCGTAATTTATTCCTTCGTTATGTGCTGAAATATCTTTCTATAGCATACGTTTCTACAGGTATTTAGAATAAATAAAAAAATCATTTCATTACCCGAGTTAATGGCAGGAGTGAAAGCACCTCCAAAAACAGTTCAGTTATTTCAATTAACATGTTGGCCTATGGGTCATAGAGTACCGACGTCTACGAATAGTTTAGTAGAACTAATGAATATGGTTGAACGGTGGAGACAAAGAACGGATTATGGTCCGGTAGCAGTGGTGTCTCCTGATGGAAGAAGTCGTTGCGGGGTCTATTGTGCCGCCAATGCATGTATAGAACAAGTAATACAACACGGTGAAGTAGATATATTTCAAGCTGTGAAAACGGTGCGCAGACATCGGCCTCAACTAATAGAAAATATGGTTGGCATTTTGTAAGATAATGTAACAACAAGAAGGACAATGATAAAACTATTTAATCTCGTATGATCTTCTCTTTTGTTTTCAGACAGAGTATAAGTATTGCTATGACTTAGTTCTACATTATGTGCTGCATTACTTGAATAAAGATATGAACGAAAAGAAGTGAGAAAGCGAGTTGGGGGACGAGCTGTGGTTCATAGAATTTGGTCGTGGTGCGGCGCTACCATTAACGCCAGAAGAAGCTTCAACGGACGGCGAACCAACTTTACCCTGCGCTCAAGGACGTATCGTTTATGAGACTACAAAAGTGGTATCGCCAGAGCTGTCCAACGGTTCCACATTTTATGCAACGCCAAGTAATAAAGAAGCAAAGGTCGCAGAAAGTCCTGAAGAAAAGAAATTAGTATGGAATAAAGCTATACCGAAATCAATTGAAGATTTTGCAAATATCGCTAACGAAAATCTAGCAAAGGATAGGATCACTTCGTCAGGATGTGCTGTTAGACCAAAAAACCTTGATATCACTCCATGGTACCATGAGAACTTCTCTATAGCAAATAGCTCGTCAGAATGTATGATTCGTCCATATAGAAACTTGGACTCTTCAAGTCCGTGCGTTACTAAAGAATTAAAAATTGAGTTTATTTCAAAAAAAGGTAATAGTGTCGAAAGAGAAACTCCGCAAATGCTAGAAGCAATCGGTATTACGCCTAGAAAGGCTTACATGGATTTAGTTGATGCAATCGCATTGTTAGATGAGACTTGTCCAAATCAAGAATTTAATCCGTCCGATACAATAAAAGCAACAACAGAGGCTTCTTTGATGCCATATACAGAATGTAAAAAGATGAAATCAAAAAATCATGGTCACGATCGACCCAATCAACATTCATTTAAGAAAAATCGTTTACAGGATAAGAATAAAAATCGACCATTAATGAAGAAAATTGGAAAGTCGAAAACCGAGGAAATGCCATTTCTAATCAAATTGCCGCCAAATCTTGGTACCATTCGTAAGCCTTGTTTCCAGAAGACTAAGTCAAGAAAAATTATCGAACAACAAACTACTTTGAATAAAATCAGTTGTTTCAAAAAATTGATCTTTGATTCGATGGATGTTAGAAGTAAATCTATAGTTAATTTAAAAGGCATCAACGAAACAGCAGTAGCAACAACAGAAACAACAACAATAACAGCAGCAACAACAACAACAACAACAGACATTCAAACTAGAACCGAACAAAGTAATCATCAGCTAAAAAAACAATTGAAAGAATTGAAAAAAAGTAAGACATTAGAATTACCCATTAGAAGATATTCCGATATAGGCCAAAGTTCTTCTGTGACAATACATTCCTTTGAAACGGATGATTTAGATAGAGCTTTCTCTCAAAAGTCACCTCTCCGAGGTTATCTAAGAGCTTCGTTAGATAGCATAATCGATACCGGATCTTGTTCGTCGTTAGTGAAAGGTATAATAAGGAATAATTCAAAAGTTAGCCATATGCAACAACGATGCAATAGTATAGATACATTAATAAAAGAGAAAATAACTGTAAACGAAGAAAGTGTTTCTTCTAGTAAATACGCGTTCTTAGTAGGTTCTTCATTCACAGAATTAGATAGATGGAGTAGCTTTTCTAAGAAACAACGTGAAATATTAGACAAGAGGAAATGTACGACTCATTCGACGATTGAATGTATTTGTAAAAGTTTGAAAATAGTTGGAAGTACGCCAAATTTAAAAGGGAGTAATAATATTAATTATCTAAAAGAAGAAGCGTCTAACTCACAATTAATAAATACATCGAGCAATTTAAAAGAACAGTGTCAAGAAATAAGCACTTTGAACAAAGAGAAAAGAAGTAGTTATTTAGAAGATAATAAAATAATTAGAAATACAAGCTCAAAGTGTCGGAAATGGCAAATTTTCTTTGACCCTTTGCAAGACACGGTAGATATGTTTAACGAATTACGAAAAGTAAGCAGTCTACTGAATATACCTTCTTGGGAGAAATTTTCTAAAGTAGATAAAACGTTTGTTCGAATACCAAAACAGATTTTTTTAAATAAAAAAGAAACGATGAGACGCGAACCAAGCACAAATCTAAGCACAAATTTAAACGAAAGGAAAAAACAAATTTCAACATTTTCCAAAGAAAAACAGTTAATAGATTCTAAAGCAATTTCTTTAACGACTACAAAGGATTTAACTTCTCAGACTGAAGTAGATTCTAAATGTTATTTATCGGATATTTTTAATGTACCTTTACAGAAGAGGAATGTTAAAGAACGGAAAGAGACGGGTATGAAAATAAAAGAAGCAACTAAGACCAAGCACAATCATTGTCTTGAAATAAAGCTTGCCAATCCTATGTTTCCGAAAGAAAGTAGCTCTCAGAAAATGGTACAAATTCAGGGACGGACCAATGATTTTTATGAGATTGTATCATCTAAAACAGTGCCGAATTGCGCTGAAAAACAATTGAGAAAAGTTTCTGCCGAAGAAGATACAAAATTAGAGAACTTTACCCTTGGTTCTAAGGTTGACTACCAGTCAGTTATTGAGCAAAAGCGGACCAAATGCTTTCCTTTATAATGCATGTATGTAGATCTATTTGTAGATAATGTTCTATAATAAAAACACATTGTGTTTGCATTCAAAATGTACAATGCCAGGGACAGGAGCCTTACGTATATAGTGAATCATGTTTTACTTAAACTGTTTCACTACTTTTTAGCTATACTAAGGGTAAACTATTTAACACTTATTTCTAATGTTGTACAGGAGAAAACGGACATTCGATACGGATTGTATTATTGGTTTCTACAATAAACATTATGCTGCATTCATAAAATTGCATAGGATTACGTACTTTTTGATCGAGCCTTTGATAATAATTGACACGAGCATAAAGAAAAGAACGATCCCTTGAACACTGTCAACAATGAAAGTGGTACAATGTTAAAATCTATACAAAAAAACCTATGTCTGATATATATATATATATATAGATATATATACTTGTATTGTTTAGTCAACTATTCTTCAGGTGCCTTGCCTTGTATGTATATATATATATATATCTTTTTAACAATAAATCATTTTTTCATTTCTTTTCGAAACTATGTATAAGTATAGCTAATTATTTAGAATAACAATTAGCTTTTCGTGTGTCACTTTCATCAAGGCAAGGATTTGGATCATTTTTCTATAATGCTTATACAAAGTCGAAACATATTTCTAAAATGTTGGTCTAAATTATACAGTTTATCTTTTGTTATTGGAACAAAAGCCACAGACCAACAAAATATTGAACAATTCAAATTTGACAAGATTATTAACAGTTAAAAAGGGGAATTTTTAGGACTTGAATAAAATGTGTTTATAGAATGTAGCTTAAGTGTTTATAAAATTGTTAGAAAAATATTATTGTAACAGAAATGAAATATTGTTCTGTAAATATATCGATGGAAAGTAAATAAGATCATTGTTGATAGAAATAACACATGTGTCGATATGAATACTCGTACTGAGATATTATTAGTGTTTCGATATTTTTTCTTTTCTTTTTCTTGTTTCGTTTAATTGTTGATTAACCGAAAATAGAATAAGTGTATCCTTCGAGCGCAAGCGAATTACTGAACTGAAATTAGGAGGGAGTCTTAACCCTCCCCCTTACCGTATTTTGACAAGTTACACACGTGGAAACAAATGCAGGCCAAACGTAAACATCGCGTGTCGAACGTGATTTCGTAGAACTAAATAGTACATCAATAGGGCTAAAGGCGGCACTACTATTGCAGATTTATTCATTACTTCCGTCATACTTCCGTATACTCTGTACACTCTGTACACTCTGTATAGTACTTCCGTATATAACTATCACATAACAATAATCATGGCAACAGAGGAAAACAAAATAATAACATCTCTTTCTATAATTGCACAAGAGTACGATTCTGATGTAGATACTGAAGATAATGAATGCGTGGATGCAAGCAAGAATTTGGATCTTAATAAAAATGAAGAAGTGTTAGGTTATGCAAATACAAATACGTATCGTGTGCCGGCTGAAGAGTCTTCTAATAACGATAGTGATAGTGATAGTGATAGCAGTGATAGTGATAGCAGCGATAGCGATAGTGATAGTAATAGCAGCGATAGCGATAGTGATAGCACCAGTGATAGCGATTCTAGCAGTAGTAGTGAATCAGATGAAAATAATAGCATTCCAAAAGACAAGTAAGTAGTACTTATTTTAATATATTTTCATTTTTATAAATGATTATATGTATGTATGTATGTGTTCTCTTTGTAGAAATACAATAATACATAACAGAAAATGTAATGAAAAGAAAAAAAAAAGTGAATTAGATGATTTACCTACAATAAAAGATCTAAAAATATCAGTATCTGAAGACTTGTGCGATTTCATTGGAAAAGTAAGTAAAATACCAATTCTTTTTCATTTTCTTTTAAAAATTAAATAATTATTTAGTCTAATAGGAATTAAAATTGAATTTAATTTTAGGTCTCCTGGATAGTCGATTCATCAGTAGTTGTACATCCTATAGCTGACAAACCAACTCTTAATTTAGATACAGTTCTTTTTGTAGATAAAGGAAGAAAAACATTAGGAAGAATTGAAGACGTGTTTGGTCAAGTTTCTGATCCACATTATTCTGTACGATTTAATAGTTTGATGCATATAAAAGAAAATGGAATTTACGTTGGCATGGAAGTTTATTATTGTCCAAACTCGCCATACACAAGTCTCGTATTTTTGCATGAATTAGTCACGTAAGTTTTAAATATGAAATTGTTTTATTATATGCACATTATTCTATTTATTAAATATAATTTACGATTATTTAGAAAAGGTATTGATGCTGAAGCTGATACCCTTGAAGACGGCGAGGTCCCGGATTTCTCTGATGATGAAGAAGAATTGAAATATTACGAAATGCAAAAGAAAGCTGGTAAAGAGACAATTAATTCGGATGGTAGTACTGTTCCGTATAAGCGAGAACGCAAGCTAAGTAAGTTAAATGTTAACTTTCTTGTAAGTACTATTACTAAGATTATTTTTTTTCTTTAGCATATGGTTTGAAGACTAATCATCCTTGGAATAGAAATACGAAGAAAAAGTTTCAAGGAAGAAAATCTCAAGTTAGAAATAATGACAGTCCTTCTACTTCTTCTAATTTATATAATCCATCACAGAGACCACCATCATTTGCGAATTCTAACTATTCGAATAACAACAGATTTTACGAATATTTGCAATATTCAAATAATTTACAAGCTAATAATACAAATAATACGTTAATACCGAACCCTCGGATTCCTTTTGGAATGTTTCCGAGATTTCAATCTAATTCGTCAACTTCTTTTAATGGACATAATCCATTTTCAATATCTAGAATAAGATTTCCACGTGCAGATTTGTATTTGCAATCGCAGCCAAATTCATATACGACTTCAATTGTACCATTTGTATCCCCATCTCCATATCTATTTTCATCCCCATATCTAACTACACCTCCACCTCCACCTCCACTTCCATCTCACCCTTCATCTTCCATAGAACAAAACCACGATACTTCGCAATAACAATGTATATATATATATATTAGGATCAAATTAAAATAGTATTAATTTAAATAACAAAATATTTCATACCTTATATATCTTTTTTGTTAAATGCAAATGTAAATAATGCTCTCGTTACTTTATATAAACATTTATAAACACTTCGGTTTATTAAATTAGCGTAATATTTAGAAATTTTCTCTACATGGATTTGTATCAAATCTAAAAATATGTGTTTTCCTAGCATTCGATGTACATAATTACATTATTTTACAATCGATATCTATTGCAAAAATGAAATATTGTTATAATCCAATAAAATTTGTTACTTTGTTAAAAAAGTATCACATTTATATTTTAACATATTTGGTTTGTCTAATTCTTTTTCAGCAATTGCAATATCATTTTTTATTTCTTTGATCAATTCATCTAAAACAAATTTATTCTTATATTTTTAATAATCTCTTAATATACGAAATATATATAAGAAAATGATTTTACCTGCTGATGTAAAATCTTTTTCTTGTCTTATATAACCGGTAACGATCACCTTAAGTTCCTCTCCATAAAAATCATTTGAAAATGTTTCTAATATATGAACTTCCTATAAAAATATATTATTAAGTTAGATTAATAAGTATACATACGTATAGTATTTCATTATAGAGAATTAGATATTATATAAATATATATACATGGATTGTTACTTAACAAATGTTTTTTTCTCATTTTTATAAAATGGATTCCATCCAACACTTGCAACCATTCTATATATCGTTCCATTTAAAGCAACCCAACCGTAATATACGCCAGTATTAAAATTCTCAGGTAACGAATCAACAACACATTCTGGAAGATTTGCTGGAAAATAACGATCTATATTAGAAATGAATGAAACAGAGATAAATATATATATATCCTTTCACACGATCGGCGGTCGCATACACTTTCAAAAGTTAAAGCTGAATTCTATTTATGATTCTATTTAAATGAAAATATATAAATATTGCTTAAACATATCATGCTTATAATTGTTTATTACAAGTGGTAAATACGAAAATTAATGTATGGTTACTGGCCACGTAAGTACATAATTAAATAAAATGAATTTTTAGTATATGTCGCTAGTGTAGAATAGAGATTTTAAAAATTTATATTTGCTATATTAGAGAGATAACGTTAAAGGAATTACATTATAGAAGCTTATCGTAGATAACAATCTGCTAAAAGATAAAATTGAATATTTAAATATTATAGAGAGATATCGTTAGATATTTAACATATATATAAAAATAACTTTAAATTTTCAGAGGAACATTTATAAAAGCGTTGCGATCGAATTTTAATTTCTATACATTTATTTAATTTAATACAACTCGTAAAGAAAAANTATATATATAATCCAATTTCGATAAGACGATTTGTTTTTTCCTTTTTACATTATTTACATGATAATAATATCGATGGTTATTACGTGTGAAAAGTATAATATATAAATAGTGATACCTGTAGGAATGCCCAATGCTTTAGAGCCTCTACCAAAACCTCGAACCACCGAACCAGATACATAGAATGGTAATATCTTCTCACTCATTTTATGTATATGTATATATTGTGAATAAGTAAGGGCAAATAAAGAAAAAAAATATTTAATGTATTTGTTATTATTAAGGTATACTGAGATGTGGTTATTTCTTTATTATAAATTCACTATTTAAATCTCTACTATTGATGGAAGATTTACTTTAAAACAATACTACGTGGCAATATAGGAAAATGTGAGAATGTAAGTGTTTTTAATTATAGTACGTATTGTGCGAAAATGAGGAGTTTATCAGTGAAGAGAAAACTTATAATAGACATTTTGTTAATGTTAAAACAGTGCTTTTAAAAGGACGCCCGTTGCCCCACTCTTACTTAAACATGATTTTTTGATGACACGTATTTTCCCTATTGGCAGAAAGAACCGCATCACTAATTCTGATCTCCGTATATTACATATGTCATTTTTTGATTAGAATTTTATCTGTAAATTCTATTCGTGAATGAATGCATATAATTAACTCAGATGGTTATACAGTACTACCAACATATGTGTAAACGTAATACTAATTATTAGTTCTTTAAAAATATATTCTATAATATGTATATTATTAAGTATGATAAATAAATGATTTTGATTAATTTGAAGCGACTAAATAGAGTGTACTGAAATTATTAGACAAATTGAATTAAATATGTCCGAAAAGAAACCCAAAATAATTGTTTTTGACTTAGGTTAGAATATATATATTTATTTATTTAATAACAATATGTTATTATTATTACTTCTTACCACTTTTTTATTCCCAGATTATACGTTATGGCCTTTCTGGGTTGATACACATGTAACACTTCCATTCGTAAAACGGTACGTTCTATTACAATCATATGCAATTACTGCTTTATTGCATCTCAACATTCAAGCACGTGTTTAATATCTTCTGTATTTTCTCAGTATAAATATTTAAACATTATAAAATGAATATAAAAGAATATAATTTAATTTAAGTTGCCATATATTTTAGGAAAAAAAATGAAATAGTGGATGCACATGGTCAGATAATACGTTATTATAAAGATGTACCTGATATATTAAATAAATTGTTGGAGGAAGGATATGAGCTTGGTATAGCATCGCGTACTTCAGAAATTAAAGGTGCTAAACAATTGTTGAACTTATTCGATTGGGAGAAATATTTTAAATACAAGGAAATATATCCTGGTGTGAAAACAGCACACTTTTCACAGTAAGTTTTTAACGCATTACGTTTAAACATATATGCCATGAATATATTTGCAACTAAAATATAAAAGAAACTATTAATTATTATATGAATAATCTTTCCAGGATAAAGAAATTATCTAACGTCGAGTACAAAGATATGATATTTTTTGACGATGAACAACGAAACATAAATGATTTAAATAAAATAGGAGTGCTGTCTATATTGGTTGAAAATGGCGTGACGCATGAAGTTATAAGTAATGGTTTGAAAAGATTTGCTAAATCTTAATAATTGTAAGTTCTGAAACATCATATTGTAAATAATACTGTGTATAAATATTTCCTGCAGCAATTTATATGTTAAATGGTACTTTATTCTTATCATATAAAATCAATTATATAGATATATAATAATATTAATACTTCCTTACTGTATGTTTTCGAAAATTTACTTATTTGCCATTGCATAGTATTGCAATGGGCTATTAATATTGACATTACCGTCGTAATTCTTATGTACTATTTTGAAATAAGTAGAACATAATATTTCTGGTTTTTCCGAAGGCATATTTTGAAGAAATTGATCTATTTGATCTTTCGTTAATGAGTTATTCAAAAGATCAATAAACTTATCTGAATTAAAATGTTTAAATGGACAACCTCCTTCGTATACGGCTCCTGGGGCTTGAGCCTAAAATTGATATAAATAGAGCTATATATATTGCTAAATATTATTTTTAAAATGATTATTCTGAAGATATAGTTTATAATAAAAGATCAATTAAATACATACACATATAACTGTACAATTGGGAGATTTATAATCCTTACGAGATCCTTCTAAACCGTAAAGGTGCCTAATATTGTATAAAAATTTGTTTTCATTAGTTTGCCAATCATGCGTACAAACGGAAGTACACGTATGGGGTTTAGAATATTCCTCTTTCCAATATTGAATAGCATCGTCTACTTTCATTCCACTTTCTTTTAAAAACAGACTGTAATACAAGCGAGCGTAATGACTAAGACGATGTTTTTTCTTCAATACTCGATGTAGATGTTGCATGCACAATGGAAACTTTTCTACTTCCACATTTATGTTATTATTATTTACTTTTCCGATGGTTAGTTTGTTTGGTGATATATAAATTTCAATTTGTTGCTTCAGAGATTGAAGTCTAACATCATTGTCGACGTGCCATGCATGTGTTTTAGTATGTTTTAAGTCTGATACCAAGTAAGTACTAAATAATGCTACCAAAAGATTTTTCCATTGCGAGCAATATACGACAGCATATCCAGCAATTAAGTCAATTTCTTTTTTTTTTATTAATTCCGGTACTAGGTCAAATTTTACTTGAATGAAAATGAAACAGTTTTTCATATGCATATGTAAATATAATTTGCGTGTAGATGTTAATTATTTTATAGACATACATATACCTTTGAATTGAAAAACGCAGCAATCATTGGCATGATTTTTTAACATGATATGTTCGAAGACTGTAGATTGTAAACAAAATAGACATACTTCTCGTATATTTAGACATATATCACTTTCTATTCTATCTACCGTATCCAATTGTCGTATAATACTTTGAAAAAGACTATTTAATTGCCTACGTGTAATATTATCCAATCGATGTTTCAATAATAATCTTTCTCTTGGAAGCCAGTACATCCATAAGTCGATTGACGTTGAAGCTATTAATCTGAAATAGCAACATAGTTTGATACCAATAATGATACTATTTCTTTTCAATTCCATTACCTTAATATGAAATGACCAACTTTATCGTATGCAGAATTTTCTAATAAATATTGAAAGTTTCCTTCGAAATCATTAGTTTGATTAGTATATAAATATTCTAAATATTCTAATCTAGTGTATACACATTTTTCCATAACATGTAGTGGTATTTGCCCATTCGGTGGTAGGACATAAAACATTTTAGAGATTAATTAGTGTTTCAACACACTGATTTTATGTTTTATATTTTTGTCAAAGCTCGCGTTTGTGTTAATAATTGTACTTTTAGTCACTGAATTCTTCATTTCAATTGTTTTGTTGCCCCTTCCCACAAAAGTATACATAATATTAATAATTATTTCTTCTTTTGTTTGAACCGCAAAATAATGTTCTTAGATAAAATTCCTAGTTCCTAGTTGCTAGTTACTAAATTCGAGGTGGCACTTGCATCGCGCTTGCATTGTGCTTGCATACATAGTTCGTACACTGCACAAGGCAAGTAGTTTGGTGCAAGTAGTAATTAATAAATAATAAGTAATTAATAAATTAATACACGTAATATATATATCTGCATGTGATTTATTGGTTTTATTTTGGATTATATGTAAGATAGACAAAAAGTAATAAGGAAGTTTATGCAGTCAACGAGAGTTATTTAAGTGTGAACACATTTATAGGTTAGAACTTGAATCAATACTTCCATATTTTTGTTTATAACTTGGAAGCACGTGCTCATATCATTTTCTAAAAATTATTTAAAAATGTCAGACAAGTCTAATAAGTCTAACAAGACTAACAAATCTAACAAGTCAATACGGAGAAAACGGGGCAGAAGGAAGAGAAATTCAGAAGATAAAAATTTTGGTAAACAATAATATTTATAAGAGTTAATTTGCCGAATTATAAATCGTCTTTTTTTTCTTCATTGATAAATAATTCACTATTTTTTATAAAAATATGGGAAAGATGTGTGAAAAATGTACAAATAGAATGTTTATTAACACTTTGGGGACCGGCAACTTTTCTGAAAATTTACCTCATGTGACCGGCTATTGTTTTGAAAGCGGATGTGGAAGTAAAACAATATAAATAAACTTTAATAAATTTTATTAATTATTCAACTCTTAATATTTCTTAAAAAAAAAAATAATATATATTATTTTTCTTATTTCTTTTTCTTTTCTTTTTTTTTTTTATTTTTTTTTTTTTTTTAAACACGAGTTAACTCGTGACTGGTTCCCAAAGTGTTAATTTCATGCATTTTTTCATAATTGCTATAATAATTGCATTGTCTATGTTAAATTGAACCATATTGTATCGTACCATATTATACAGGAAACAATGATGTAATTGGAGGAACGAACAATAATATCTTTGGTAATAGACGTCGCATAACTTTTAAATCTCCAGAAGGATTGAATATACCAAATTTATCTTTGGTATTAGATGATAATATTCTAAATTCCAATAATATTAATTTTCGATTTATCAATCCCAAAATTAAAGAAGAAATTAAAAAAAGTTTCCTTCATGCAATTGAGGATCATGTTAATCATAAGCTGCAAATAGTTAAACCCCGAAGAACTAAGTGGTTTAAAATTATGGTAAATATTTTGCGTGTTCGTCGTCGCTTATAAAAGAGTATTACTTAAATGGAAAAATTTACCGACTTATTTTGTAGATATCATGCGATGGATATTATTCACAAGATTATATTCTGGACAATCTCCGAAAAGTTATCAAAGGAACTTTTGAACCTTTAATGGTAAATACACTAATTGTGATACTTATGTATTTATAGCTTAACTTTCTAAGTCTTCTTTTTTAAATAATTTTTAGTTTAAAATTTCTGGGAAGAAAGCATCTTTTTATGTCGATAATTATATCGCAGCAAATAATTTTGCTTCTTGTGAGCGTGAAATTTGTCATAAAATAGGACTTCTAATCGATGTTAATTCAGGATGTCCACCACAGTGTGATATCAATGATGATTTAAAGGAAAGGTTAAAAAAGGCTATAGGTAAAAGATATGTACAAAAGACAAATGCTTTAGATTTATCTAAATTTTATTCTGATTCAGGTTGGTGAAATTAATCTTTTAGGATTTTTTTGTTTCTTTATGTGAAGAAATATTCAATTCACAATATTTTTTGTAGATCTTATTACGGATTACTTTTGCCCTCTATCTCGACCAGCCATTATAGAGATAGTGTTAGATATTGTTCACGAATATCTACCTACGTTAGAAGCATTAAATTTAGATGACAACATGTTAAACACGACTTATAAACTTTGGGATCTACATACACAATTACCCAAATTAAAGATCCTACATTTAGGAGATAATAAGGTACGTCATATATATATAAGGGAAATTCAATCTTTCTTGAATAATAATAACCAAATGTGTTTCTCTGCAAAACAAAGTTAAATTTATTATTATTATAACAACTATCTACAAAATTTACAAAATTACCTGCAAAACACACACACAAAGAAACGACAATTAAAGATTATTATATCTCTTCTTATCCACACTTAACCAAATCTACTTATAATTCTCAGTCTATATGTTCAGTAGCACTTCTATCCATCTAAAGGAGGCTAATTCCACGAACCGTGCACAGCGTGTGTCACGCGGCACGCCTAACAAAGAAAGCCTCCTTTCTTTACATATATATATATATATATATGTATCTAGGTTACATTTATACATGTAATATGTATTTATTGTAGATTGTACACATTAACCAATTATTCCCTATAAAAGAATTACAATTGGAAGAATTAAGATTGGCAGGAAATCCTCTCTCTGATAAGTACACATCTCAGAACGACTATATTAGGTAATGTACTATTTTACATGATTTTTTTTCTCTTCTACTAATGATAATTAATATTATTTACTAATTTCTATTAATGTTTTACAGAGATGTACGCAAAAGATTTCCGAAACTTATAAGACTGGTAAATATGAAGCCTAATTATCGAGTACCATAGACAAAAAAATATATATATATTGTGTATTCAGTTATTAAAATATTAAAAGTTTAATAATGTATTTTACAGGATGATATAGAATTATCGCTCCCAATGTTATTTGACATTGATGATGGTATGAAAGTGGTGCCCCCTACTCAACAATTATTCGTTAGAGATGCTAAAGCACAAGATATAGCAAACCAGTTCTTTATGGAATATTTTTCTATTTTTGATAGCGAAAATAAACACCCGTTATTGAATGCATATGATGAGCATGCATGTTTCAGTTTAACTGTAACAAAGACTGGAAAGTAAGCAAGCTTACTGAAAAGTAATATATTATACTTCTTATGTTCTTATTTCTTTCTCTCTTTTATATATATATGACATTTTCAGATTGCATGTATATCTTGCAGAAGATAGAAATTTGTTGAGATTAAGCAATTACAATAAGAGAGTGAAATTATTAAAGCAAGGTAGATTACAAATTCTATCTTGTATAACACAACTACCACAAACAAAGCACCATTTAAGTACCTTTACAATGGATATCAGTATTGTAACTGTAAGTAAATATCGTTTGAAGAAAGTAAATAACAATTCTTTCAAACGCTTTATAAATAAATTGTTAAATCATAGGAGTATTTTTATTTTGTCTTCTTTGCAATTACAGGAACAAATGATGTTGATCGAGTTAACAGGATTATTTACTATCAAATTGAATGATCAGTTATGCTATTTCAGTAGGACATTTATCATAGTACCAAAAAAAAACGGTTATTGCATTTCTAACGAGCAATTGCATATTAGTCTTCCTACTAAGGAACAACGCAAGAAATTTTTCGCTAATAATTGTTCTATACAACAAATAGCCAATGGATTTAAGAAAATGGAATTGTAACTTTTCAAACTTTGACAAATACCTCAGGTAGCATTTACAAAATAAAATCCTAGACTACGTATAAAAAATAATTCCATCCTGTACCCAAGTTGTTCTTTAAACCATTTTTATCAAAATGAAAAAGAACAGATGAAAGTATGATTGTAAATAAAGATCTAAAATTTGCCAAATTAAGAAGATGTACAGTACACATAATGCGAGCATGTCAGAATTTATTGAGAAAAGTTATTTGTCTTTCTTGTCCAGGCAAGAAATCTTTCTAATCGTGAATTGGTGATCGTACCGAAATTAGTCATTTAACATGGCTAGATTGTTAACTTAACTGTAATAACATTTCTTATAATTAGTTCTTCATTATATATTCTTGATAAGTTGATTAAATTTAATTTAATTGTGTACGAAACCAATTAAATTTTAATTGTCCCTGTTTTATTAAAAAAAAAAAAATGTTTTGCTATAATATTGTAATGTATGTATTTTATAAGCTCTCTTTGTAAAATAAATTTGAAAGTAAATAATAATGAAACGGATTTTATATACATTCCCTATAGCTTAATATTCGAGAAAATTTAATTACATAAATTTGCCACAAAATACACACACAAGTACAATTGAATTTTCTATTGAATTAAATAGATTTTTAAATGATATCAAAACAAAGTTACAGTTCAGTTCGAGTTTCGCGCCATAACTTAAGATTGGATTTTTCAAGGCGGTAATTTGAGTGCATTCGAGCTAACATAACCTGTTATGTTTTTTGTGACTAGATAGGATTTATGCAGTCGTACGTGCATTCGAAACGTGTGCAGTTCGTGGGCGTTTAAAATTTGTCATATTTATTAAGACTTATTAAATACTATAACCTTTGCTTTTGATAGTATTATTTCATATTTATCTTAGAATATTATAATAAAAAATATGGTTGTTTTTACTTGTAATCATTGCGGGGAGACCTTACAAAAACCACGTGTTGCAAAGCATTATCAATTTCAGTGTTACAACAAGCCTTATTTAACGTGTGTGGATTGTTTAAAAGATTTCCGGTAAGTATTCGTTTATTTGTATTTTTTAAACTTTCATTTTTAGAATTTAATTTGAGGTGAAAACTATTTAAGTGAACAGGAATACGTACAACATACAAAATGTATAACTGAGGCAGAACGATATGGTGGTAAAAACTATGTTCCAAAGGCTACAGCTAATAAGGGTGAACGTAAACAACAAGAATGGCTTAAAATCGTTAATAGTCTACTTGAAACAAATATGGACTTATCACGCGATGAAAGAGAATTTTTACAAGCTTTGTCAAATTGTGAAAACATACCCAGGAAGAAAGTGAAATTCATTAATTTTATTAATAATGCATTTGGATTTCGAACGAACAAGTCAATAGTTGAAAGCGTTTGGGAAAAAATAGAAAAAGCCTATCAACAATCAGTAAACAGTAACGTAAAGCAAGAACAAATTGAAAGTAAGTCTGAATAATCCTAGATTTTATTATATTATTACTATATTTTCTATATATATCTTTTTTTCTTATTTAAATGTTATTAGAGACCAATGGTAATCATAAAGTAAAAGTTGAGGCGAAAGAAGATCAAATTTTGACTAATAATTTAGATAATAATGTAGCAGAAAATCAGAATAATGAAAATATATATAAAGAAAGTAAATGTGATAAACAAGGAAACGAAAATAAGGAATTATTATCTGACAATAATTGTATCAAAGAATTGGAGCTTAAGAAGGGAAAAAAATCGAAGAAAAGAAAACTCTCATTATCTGCAGAAACGGAGGAATCTTCTGCTATTAAAAAAAATCATCTGAACGATGAGAATGTAATTACCAATGAAACTGTAAACGAAAATCAGAATGAAAATGCATCGGAAAAAAGGAAATTTAGCTGGAAAAATACTATTTTAAATATAGTATCTGTTAAAGGGGAAATATCCTTAAGGAAACTACAAAAGAGAGTACGCGTACAATACACGAATCATTGTCAAGATGAAATAGCAGATGAAAAATTTATTAATAAGCTTAATAAGAAACTTAACAAAATGACTGAAATTATTGTATCCGAAGAAAAAGTAAGAATGGCATAGGTATGTAAATTATCAATAATACAAATTTCTATGAAAAATAAATACTATGACAGAAAATCTAAAAGTTATTTATTTATTTTTTTCCTTCTATACTACCAATACTACTTTTATTTATTTCTATAGAAATATTTGGATTTGGTAAACTCATTTCAGGGGAAGAGAGATATTCTAATTTAAATACAAAGAGAAAAGTAGTATTTGTAATATTATATAATACATAGTATTTTGTACACATAAGAAAAATATATGGTAACATCTTTTTCATCAAACTGTTTATAAGCACATTCTATACTATACTATTATTTAATAAAACATAATATTAAGATTTTATTTATCTTGGTAACACGCGTAAATCGTTTAAAGTCAGCTACGGTCTTAAGTTATCGTTTTAATCGTTAAATAAATCAGTATATTTTTAATGAAATAAAAATTCTCATCCATAGAATTTATATTCTTTTATTAGAAAATATTGAAGTAATCTTTCGATATTCTTGAAATTTACCGACGAAGATATGTTTTTCTTTATTTAATTTTATTCTTAAATCATCACGCAACTTTCATTTTAAATGACTTCATATTTTCTTTCTCTTGAAAACATTAAACTATACACACACAAACACACGCACACACACAAACATACGCGCGCGCGCGCGTTATGTAGCTAATTTATGTTATATAAGGATTTGTTGTAATTACTGTATAGTATGCTGAGAACCAATTAAAGGAAAAGTTTGTGTAATTTTACCAATTCCTTTGGTACGACCCTCTCTTAATAAAAGACGCATTCCAACATGAAGGTATTCTGGATGACTAACAAACCTAAATAATATAGATGCCGTGTCATTTGTCTGTAGACCTCTATCTTTCATATCCATTATACCTTCAATTATACACGTTTGTCTTACGTTACCTACGTGAACAGTTGTTTGAAAACCAGAAAAAATTGCAGTAGCATGATAAACAATTAATACAGTAGCCTGAAACACGAAATGGAAGATTGATAAAATAAACGAACTTAAATGAAAATCAATTCGGATTAAAGTACATTAAGTATATTACTTGGAAAAATAAAGTTCCATATGGCTTATCTCGTACAGAGACTAAAACCATGCCTGGTCGAAAATGTGGTAAAGGTGGGCTGCGGTTAGTAGATGGGGCCAAAGTTAAACTGGCGCTTTGTGATGCTCTTACCAAACAACAAGGAGCTTTATTACGATGTATACTGGCAACTTTAACAGGGCTAAATTTGCCATCGGGTGAAGGCCCTACCAATAATCGTGTTCCAGGTGCTATTGCACCTTTTACAAGTAGGCCACCCAAAACTGGTTGGGTTAAACCAGCAACTCTGAAAAATCGTTACTATTATGTTAACCGTTTAATCAAGGTATTTCTTAAAGTTTAAGATAACACGATATTATTTTAACATGTAAAAAAAAATAATTCTGACCTAAAAGTTTCATCGATTTGGAATAAACACGATTCTGGATCCGAATCGATCGGATTTGTTTCAGACGGCGGTAAGTTTCTAATAAACGATGTTAATTCTCCTAATCCTTTTCCAGTAACACAACTGACTGTAAATACTGGTATGATATCTGTTTCGTAATACTGTGATATATTGTTATTGATGTTGTATAATAGTAATTGTTTGGAATAACCATGTGCTTGTATTGCATTTTCAAGTTGGACCAAGGTATCGTGAGTATTATAAAATCCAAGGTCTGTTTTATTTAAAACAATGAAAAATGGAAGTCTTAATGTCAAGCAAAGAGCCATATGTTCTTGCGATGCTTCATTCATTGGTGGCGCAATCACCAGTATCACGTAATGAGGAGAATATCCTATACAACATTTCATTATTTAATTTCATTTGAAAAAGTAAAAAGAAAAGAAACAGGTTAAGACAAATCTTTTACCGGTTAACCCTGAAACTGTTGTTCTTAAATATTTGCGATATCCAGCCAAATCTATAAAGGTAACAACTTTGGAAGCATGTTCACAAATTTCTTCTGCCGTTGTCATTTGAGCATAATTTAAGACGTGCCCTTCGTTATCAAATCCGATAATTTCGTGGGAAATAGAGGATGTGCGACCTGTTTTTATTTCATGAAGATGTCGTAACATATTTAATCTTGCTCTCCCTCTACCATTATCTAATTCACCTTGCGTTAACACCCCTAAATAAATATTCCTTTTTATAATTCCAATATACTATCAAATGCACACTATATATTATAAATGAATAAAATATCGCAGAGCAAACTTTAAGTATACTTCTCTACCTTAAATGTCCTCTCTGCTAAGCCTCTCACCTAAGAGAGTTGACTTTCCAGCATCTTGAGCACCTATTACGGCTAGCCTCAAGTCAACGACACTTTCTTGGTCCTCTCTATCATCTTTTCGTAATTTTTTCACCAAAACTTCGGCCACTCTTTTCTCCTCATTGCTTTGCTTTTCCTTCAGATTTTTATATTTAGAAATAGTAACTCTTTCTCGAAGAACGCAAGTTGTCGCGCCTAGCCTAGAAGCCATTTCTTTTAAAGTTTTAAGAGATGCCTTTAGTTCCTCTTTTGATAATCCAGTCAATCTTCCATTATCTTCAACCCCTAGAGATATTTTTAAGCGATAAGTCGGATACTTCATTAACAATTTTTTTTTCAAACAAATCTAATTTTACCAATTTGATAAATTGCTTCCCCGTGACCTTCCCTGAGTCTCCATTTCATTTGCGTAACAAGATGTTCGAATCGTTGATTAGATGGATTTATTAATTTCAATTTATATTCAACATTGCCTTGTTCTGGTTCCGGTGGTAACTTTTCTTCCTCGCCTTCATCGACACTGTCATTTTCACAATCTGATGCATCTTTAGTTTCCAGGTCGTCCCATCCATTTCTTAGAATATTTTTCTCGTCGTCTGGGTCAAATAATGACAGAAACGACTCCATATCTACAAATTATTGCTAAATATTGTTGAGCAAATTCAATGATGCAATGATGTAATGATGCATAAAATGACACAATATAACAAGAATACAGAAATTCTGGCACTAATGAGATCTTTCTCATTTCCGAGAAAAAATGAGTATTGTACATATACATGTACATATATACCATCACAACATAAACAGATGCATATGTATAGATACACTACTTTAAAATGAAGTCACACGTAAGAACAAAGTGCGTGTCCGTTTCTACGTACGAATTATTTTTAAATATAATCAAACTAAAAGATAATACAAAATATAGTTGATTTATTATGTCACTGGTGTTTGTCGCACAGCTGTTTGAAAGTGAAATGACAGTGTTATCTAAAATCTTCTATATAATAATGACGCAACATTTTTCAAATGAACAAAACGTTAAAGGAAAGATTTATATTTCAAATATGAATGCGAACTTACTACATTTTCTAGAATTTCAATCTTTTCCTCGATATAAACGTACGTTTTAATCTAAAGTTCCTGAATCATTCAAGCTCCTTGACGTGTGCGTGTTGTGCCCGCCATGACAAATATTTCTTCCTAACGTAGTCTTACCAACATTTAAAAGTGTCGCTTTAATGACGCAATTTGTATCATTATGTTTTAATTCTTTCCTTATATTATTTATATTTGAATGATCATTTTATTTTTTATTTATTTTACGTTCCCTTTTAATTTACATTTTTTTTTCTAGAAAAAATATTTTCATCATTAACGCCTGTAACGTAACATTAAATTAAAAAAAAAGAAAAAAAAAAACAATGCAATCTATAGGGAAAAATAAAATAGAGATAAGTAGCGTCATCTATGAAACAAACAAATGCAGCTGTATATACATATATATGTTTTATGAAAATAATTTGAAATTGAAATTATATATATATATATATATAAAGAGAAAATAAAACAATTTCCCTAGCAGTACATAAATATTGCGAATTTTTTAGATTCTCTCGCGAATTTTTATCAAATCTTTCCAACTATCTATCTATCTATCTATTCATATTCGGCCCTATTATTTATTTGCGCGTTACGTTTATTATTATTAAAAATGCAATTCCTCTTTCCTTATTGAATGAATTATTTCTTTTTTGTTTTGAAATTAAATCGATAATCAATAAAAATCGATTGTTATATTACGTCAATCGATTTGGTAATTTAATAGATCGATCTATATATATACGATCGGGTATTACGTATTTGCGCTATAATAAAACCATTAGAAAAATATTGAATCGATTAATTCGTATAGTAGAAGAAGAAAAAAAAAATAGATGATAGCTTGAATGCGTCCGCTGATGACAAAATCTTCTCTCTGATGGACTATTCAGAATGAAGGCGCATTATCTCAGTTGGATCTCTTGACAACGTAAACACAAATTGCGATTCGCCGGGCGCGCAATGTCAAAAGAGAATTTAATTTATTCATTCGCCCTGGCCACATCTCGATGGCTTCGTATTATTTTCTTTTTCTTTTTTTTTTTTTTTTTTTTTTTTTTTACAAAGAACAAAAAAGGACAGAGTGACCGGGAGCGTGCGCGCGTGCTAGAGAAAGAGAGAGAGAGTGAAAGGAAAGGAAAGATACTCGTTTCACGTAGCCACGAGTTTATCAAATTGCGCGTTATTTCTATAATTGGCGAATATAATAAATATATTTGCTAATACTGCGAAAATAAAATAATGCGAAGTTAGCATTGTTCTTCAATTCGAGCATCTAATTTCTTTATTTTAACATAATACTCGAAAAAATTTGGATTATCAGTCGAATTATTTCATCGAGTAATCGAAATTATGTCATCGTGGGATATTTGTTTATAAATTGATACAAAATTTTCGTACAATTAGTAAAAAATAATAAATGAAGAAGAATAATCATTAATTACTATAGAAAATTCTAACTCGAGATGTTGTAACGTAAACTATGTTACGATGCCAATAATTTTAATGATCATTCGAATCGTAGATCTTAAGGATAACGCGATGACGTCACCGACACGCGACAATTAGCAGAACGAAAAAGAATAAAAGTAAAAGTTTCATCTTGTTTTTGCGTTCCCTATTTAATATATATATATATATATATAGATTCGTGGTGATAATTGAACTGCGGAAAGGTAGAAACTACCCCTAGAGCTGTTAAATAAGAAGTCGGAAATTGTGCGACATATCGGCGCGTCGTATATCCTAACTTGAACCCTCGGATAGTAGGAGGAGTCGAATTAGGAAATTTCGTCCAAGTTTATTGAACAAGGGTATATTATACGTATTACGTGAGTCTCTTTCGTTTCGTCTTCTCGCAATCGCTTTCAATAAAAGTAATTATTTCGTCGTTTTTATGAAAAAAAATCGATGCTCATAGATGAGGGTAGAAATTGTATGGCCAATACGTGTATATATGCACGTACGTACGATATACATATACATATGTATATATATATACATGTTTACGCGTATGAACGAGCAAGTTGGTGTGGAAAACAGAAGAGAGAAAGAGAGAAAGAAAGGGAAAGGGAAAGGGAAAGGGAAAAAGAGAGTGAGAAAGAGAGAGAGTGAGTTAGAGAGTGAGAGGAACAGATAATGAATTCAATTGGTTAGTGTGGGTGTAAGCACCCTACTCCGTTCGACGCAACCAATCAGAAAGAAACGAGGGCTCAGGCTGCTACATTCGAAATATATAAATGTGCCAATATCTCCTCTCCTCTATTCAGACAGTTCTTCCTTTCTTGCCGGTGTTACCTGAACATTCCTTGTCAAAAATACGAAGATATTAAGTCAACCTCTTTTTATCTTCAAATATTTTCAACGATGGTAAGTTTTATTCGATGATGTAACGTTATATTGAAAATTCGTCCATTCAAAACTCGTAGAAATTTGACAACTATCTATTACACAAAGGTTATTCAAATTTTCTATTTCTCTTTTTAATTAAGCTTATGCGGAATTTTGATGATTATTATTCGTTTCGCGACGAGAGATTGACAAAATTCTATTTCCTCCCCCTCCCCTCCCCGGCCGTCGCCCCCCCCCCAAGTTTTATCGCCTTTTCTTATTTTCAATAATTTCAACTATATGTTCAACGGGATTTCTCTTATCGCGATGTATACAAATAAGATGTAACGAGGCCAGAATCAAATTGCACGAATCCATGATATTCAAGTGTCGCGTTTAAAGTTTCTACTGGTCGTCTTAAGAATTACGGTCAAATAAGAAAAATAATCATCATCTATTTGTGCACAATGAAAACAATGATCGTCCTTTTAAATATGTACAAAGTTTGTATGCAACGTAGATTCAATAAACAATATAACATCGGTGCATATGTATATGCAAGTATAAATTTTTCAAGTATCATTTTTCAAAATGCCATGAAATACAATTTTATATATATATATATACATAGCCACGCACCGTAGATTTCGCCGATTCGTAATTAGATTTCTTGTTGCATCATTTTGGGTTACCTCGTTTTACGATAGTTTCAATATTAATTAATTTTTGTTTCTTTTCGATATTTACAGATGAAACGATTTTTCTTAACACCATCGAATCTTTTCGTGGTCCTCGTTACGACGAATATGATCTACGGAAGCCCTTTATCGTTAATTAGATTATTGGCACATAATCATGCTTATTCTCGTTCTGGAGTAAACAAAGATATTAATCATTTGGAGGATGGAAAGAATTACGAGAATTCGATATCCGTCGATGATTCTGTTGCAACGGGTGACATTAATTTACAGGTATTGTGATAATTAAATGAATCATTTTTTTTTTTTTTTTTAAATGATTGCGAGACACCATTATCTTCTTTTTCCCCTTTCATTTTTTTTTGTTCTTTTTTAGGATAACCAACAAGATTGGACGAAGATTACGAAGAATCCAGCTAGTCCTGTAACTGCTACAGTCGGGTTAGTTTTATTCATTCATTCGTAAATTAATATAATAATAATAATAATAATAATCTTTTAAGATCTTATCTATATGGACGCGTGACTTGTCAATTTATTTAATTATTCATTACGATTATCTCATTTTTTAGGAATAGAATCGAATTACGATGCGAAGCTAATGGCAGCCCGCCGCCACAAATTCTTTGGTTGAGAGGAAACGATCCAGAAAAGCAGGTTTTTATTATTTCTAGATTTCACAGCTGATATACATATGTATGCCTGGATCATCGGTAGAGTAAGCAAAGAAGGGAAGAAAGAAAGAAAGAAAGAAAGAAAGAAATAAAGAAAAAAAAAAAAAAGAAAAAAAAGAGAGGGACATAAATTTGGACGTGATAAACGATGTCCTGTCGCTTGAAATCGCAATAAATACTGTTCGTCATTCATCCGGTCTTGGGATGACGATTATTTATCTATCTCATCGGCCAAAGAAATAGATTGAAAAAATGGAGTTAAGCAAAATGAAAAAAGATAAAGAAAAAGAAAAAAAGTAGTTTCGATATTGAGGAATGCCACGCAGAGCAGTTGACCTCTAACAATATGCATATTACAGTAGGACCTTGATTAACCGGTCTAATCGGGACCGGGCCGGGCCGGTTAAATTGAGATCCACCGGATAATTGGGATCCTACCAAGTGTAGAGAAACGAATACAAATTTTCTTAATGAATTGGAACATTATAAGGATATAATAACGATGACGCGAATACATTTTCTATATTTTCTATTTAATAATATTTCGTGTTGATTGATATCTCTCTCTCTCTCTCTCTCTCTCTCTCTCTCTATATTCGTGAGTATATTAATATTCTAATTTCTCGACGAAACAAGGCAACAACTTTTTTCGTTATATATTGTTTTTTTTTGTTCGTCTACGAAAATTCTTTCGGCCGGCTAATATAACGGCTAAAAAGTATTATACATATGTTACTAACGGCTGGTTAATTCCGTTCATCGTGAAATAGCATGATGTAACATTGATATATTTTTGCATTCTAGCTAACCGAGTTCCTGGGTAAAAGTATGGCGGATCTCGAGATTTCTTCCGACGGATGGGAAGGACTGGGTCAGGTTGTTTCGAAACTCGTCATAGAATGTGTCACGCCGAACGATCAAGGTTTAATTTATTGCGCATCCGTAGCCGGGAAGAAAATGCAATTGTCCAATCCGAGTTTACTCTTGGTCAATGGTAATAGTCATTTTCCCATTTTACTATTAATACATATTATATGTATTTATCATTGTGATTGGAAATAATAGAAAATGAACAAGAAATTGAAAAGAATATCGTGTTGAATCGTGTCCTACGATTTAGGAGAGAATGGAAACAACAACAGTTGTATCGGCGAAACTAAACCGACGATAACTTTACACTCACCGATGAGATTTGCTCTGATTGGATCTACGGTCGTTTTGCCATGTAGAGCTACGGGCAAGCTCAGACCTTATACGTATTGGTTGGACAATAACGCGGCAGTTATACATTCGTCCACGAATCCACGGTACAAGATCTTAAGAAACGGTGATCTGGTCATAGATCCGCTCAAGTGGACGGACATGGGAAGTTTGACCTGTTATGCCAAATCCGATTACAAAGAAGATAGTGCGACAACGTTCCTTTATCCGATGGTAGTAAGTTTTTTCATTATATTTTTTTTTTTTTTATAAATCTATGATGCCTTTTTAATCACTAACCGTTACATTCTTTTTTCCTTCTTTCCCCCCAAATGTGATTTTTCTAGGACGAAAAGAAGGCTCTCTGAACGTGAAATTAAAACTAAAGAAGAAGAATAAAAAGAAAAAGAAAAAAAGAAACAAAAAAAGCAAAATGAGAAAGGCCTGTTATCGATGTTCTTAAATCCATACTATTATACCGATCCAAGTGGATGATTTCAAAGAGTAGAGTGAAAGTATTGCTTGAGCAGTATGCAAATTCGGTTGATTCATTTCGAGCGTCAGTTTAATATGTTTGTCCTTTCGATCGCCGCTCGCTCTGACAAATTTTTCTAACGAAGTGCACCTTAGAGCGCACTCACGCAATGATTGCTATAAATCAAACTGGATACGACCAGTTGATCTTCCGACGAAATTATCGTAGTTTTCTTCTCTTCTCGTTTATTCGTCTTATGATAATACGTATATATATATATATATGCTTATGATATACATATATACATATATATATACACAGTCAGACTTGCCCTATTCGTCGAGTTACAATGACGACGTCATTTTTACTTATCGAATTTGTTCTATTTTATACTTCTAACGAATATATTTTTAATACGTGCATAGTAATCGTATTATATCGGTATAAGATTAAACATTACTGCTGCATTTTTAATTAACGCGTTAGATACGACGACAAATGAAAAAAAA